AGTTGTGAGTATCGCAATTGTAAGCATATTCTTCGGTGGCGCTCCCTATGGGGCCACGAACCGCATGAGGGGTGTGCCGAAATGTGGCGGGGTACACAACGCAAAGGAATACGATTGATCTGATCACGAGAGAAAGAACGCGGGTGAGTCAGAGCGCGAGGGAATCTGAGTATGAATGGGTCTGCGCGCGAGTGAATATATTTGCATGAATGCGATCATGGAACCGCCCAGTGTAAGTGTCGAGCATGCCTGTCCGAACACACGTGACACTGGGCGTGGCCGCCGCAGGCAGCTTCCGCGGGAACCCCGACGGCAGCGTCCGCACGTCGCGACGCCCATGTCGGCACGCCTCTTGCGAGGATCGCGCCCGCTTTCGGCTCTTCTTTTCCTTCCTCTTTGCCCGCGCACTCCAAAATCCAAGGCTGCGGGCGCAGCGCAGCGCGGAGTCCCCGCGACGCGCGCTGGTCGCCCCGGGCGGGGTCCCAGCGACGCGCGCGGATCGTCCGCTGCGCGAAGCAGAGAGAGCTGACTAGCTAACTGGCTGGCTGATAGCGGGCCAGTCTCTGACCGCTGGGCAGAGCGACGACGGGCGAACGAGGCGCCGGGCCCCCCGCAGCACGGAGTTCCCGCGACGCGCGCTGGTCGCCCCGAGAGGGTCCCAGCGACGCGCGCGGGTCGTCCGCGGCGCGAGGCCAAACAATTAGTCGGGCAGTCGAGAGAAGGCGCGGCTCGGGGGAGACGCTCCTCAGGTCAGGCCTCGCGGATGAACTCGGTGAAGCCGAGCTCCCTGGCGAGGGCCGTCGCTTCCCTCCTGCACCGCTTCGTGCGCGCCGCAAACTGCTCCAGCTGCTTCCGCAAGCCCTGCGGCGGCCCTGCCAGGAAGAACTCGATGCGCGGCGCCCGCATGAGCAGGAGGTCCTCGTGGCGCGTGGCGCGCGAGAGCAGCACGTAGAGCTCCAGCCACCAGTCGTCGTCCTCCTTCTTGCCGTTCCCTACCTCGTGGCGGCCGCAATCCAGGATCACGCCTGGGCGACGTCGACCGAGGGAGCAGCGCGCCGGGCAGCCGACGGCCCAGGGCGAGAGTCCACAGGACCGAGAGATGGTCTGGCCGCGGACTGCTCGCGCCCCGGAGGTCTGACCGCCCCCGGAGCGCCGTTCCCCCGCCCCGTCGCCTTCGCGCACGGTGCGTCCCTGGCACGCCACCGTGGTGATGACCCTGCCGTGCGAGAAATGCGGGGGGTGTGGGTGGGGGTGACGCATGCGGGCGGCGGGCACTGGGGCCTTCGGTGGAGCTCCCTATGGAGCCACGAAACGTGTGAGGGGTGTGCCGAAATGGGTGTGGGGGACGCATGCGGCCGCGGGCACTGGGGCCTTCGGTGGAGCTCCCTATGGAGCCACGAAACGTGTGAGGGGTGTGCCGAAATGGGTGTGGGGGACGCATGCGGCCGCGGGCACTGGGGCCTTCGGTGGAGCTCCCTATGGAGCCACGAAACGTGTGAGGGGTGTGCCGAAATGGGTGTGGGGGACGCATGCGGCCGCGGGCACTGGGGCCTTCGGTGGAGCTCCCTATGGAGCCACGAAACGTGTGAGGGGTGTGCCGAAATGGGTGTGGGGGACGCATGCGGCCGCGGGCACTGGGGCCTTCGGTGGAGCTCCCTATGGAGCCACGAAACGTGTGAGGGGTGTGCCGAAATGGGTGTGGGGGACGCATGCGGCCGCGGGCACTGGGGCCTTCGGTGGAGCTCCCTATGGAGCCACGAAACGTGTGAGGGGTGTGCCGAAATGGGTGTGGGGGACGCATGCGGCCGCGGGCACTGGGGCCTTCGGTGGAGCTCCCTATGGAGCCACGAAACGTGTGAGGGGTGTGCCGAAATGGGTGTGGGGGACGCATGCGGCCGCGGGCACTGGGGCCTTCGGTGGAGCTCCCTATGGAGCCACGAAACGTGTGAGGGGTGTGCCGAAATGGGTGTGGGGGACGCATGCGGCCGCGGGCACTGGGGCCTTCGGTGGAGCTCCCTATGGAGCCACGAAACGTGTGAGGGGTGTGCCGAAATGGGTGTGGGGGACGCATGCGGCCGCGGGCACTGGGGCCTTCGGTGGAGCTCCCTATGGAGCCACGAAACGTGTGAGGGGTGTGCCGAAATGGGTGTGGGGGACGCATGCGGCCGCGGGCACTGGGGCCTTCGGTGGAGCTCCCTATGGAGCCACGAAACGTGTGAGGGGTGTGCCGAAATGGGTGTGGGGGACGCATGCGGCCGCGGGCACTGGGGCCTTCGGTGGAGCTCCCTATGGAGCCACGAAACGTGTGAGGGGTGTGCCGAAATGGGTGTGGGGGACGCATGCGGCCGCGGGCACTGGGGCCTTCGGTGGAGCTCCCTATGGAGCCACGAAACGTGTGAGGGGTGTGCCGAAATGGGTGTTGATGATGATGATGATGATGGGAGGGGGGAGGAGGCAGCGGGAGGAAGGAAGGAGGGAAAACGCGGGGCACCGTCTCTTCAAAACGAGGACCCAGCACCACAGGATGGTTGGGAACAAAAAAAAAATCCTGGCGAAGGACCCAACCATATGCAGTTGTGAGTATCGCAATTGTAAGCATCTTCTTCGGTGGCGCCCCCTTTGGGGCCACGAACCGCATGAGGGGTGTGCCGAAATGTGGCGGGGTACACAACGCAAAGGAATACGATAGATCTGATTACGAGAGAAAGAACGCGGGTGAGTCAGAGCGCGAGGGAATCTGAGTATGAATGGGTCTGCGCGCGAGTGAATATATTTGCATGAATGCGATCATGGAACCGCCTAGTGTAAGTGTCGAGCATGCCTGTCCGAACACACGTGACACTGGTCGTGGCCGCCGCAGGCAGCTTCCGCGGGAACCCCGACGGCAGCGTCCGCACGTCGCGACGCCCATGTCGGCACGCCTCTTGCGAGGATCGCGCCCGCTTTCGGCTCTTCTTTTCCTTCCTCTTTGCCCGCGCACTCCAAAATCCAAGGCTGCGGGCGCAGCGCAGCGCGGAGTCCCCGCGACGCGCGCTGGTCGCCCCGGGCGGGGTCCCAGCGACGCGCGCGGGTCGTCCGCTGCGCGAAGCAGAGAGAGCTGACTAGCTAACTGGCTGGCTGATAGCGGGCAAGTCTCTGACCGCTGGGCAGAGCGACGACGGGCGAACGAGGCGCCGGGCCCCCCGCAGCACGGAGTTCCCGCGACGCGCGCTGGTCGCCCCGAGAGGGTCCCAGCGACGCGCGCGGGTCGTCCGCGGCGCGAGGCCAAACAATTAGTCGGGCAGTCGAGAGAAGGCGCGGCTCGGGGGAGACGCTCCTCAGGTCAGGCCTCGCGGATGAACTCGGTGAAGCCGAGCTCCCTGGCGAGGGCCGTCGCTTCCCTCCTGCGCCGCTTCGTGCGCGCCGCAAACTGCTCCAGCTGCTTCCGCAAGCCCTGCGGCGGCCCTGCCAGGAAGAACTCGATGCGCGGCGCCCGCATGAGCAGGAGGTCCTCGTGGCGCGTGGCGCGCGAGAGCAGCACGTAGAGCTCCAGCCACCAGTCGTCGTCCTCCTTCTTGCCGTTCCCTACCTCGTGGCGGCCGCAATCCATGATCACGCCTGGGCGACGTCGACCGAGGGAGCAGCGCGCCGGGCAGCCGACGGCCCAGGGCGAGAGTCCACAGGACCGAGAGATGGTCTGGCCGCGGACTGCTCGCGCCCTGGAGGTCTGGCCGCCCCCGGAGCGCCGTTCCCCCGCCCCGTCGCCTTCGCGCATGGTGCGCCCCTGGCACGCCACCGTGGTGATGACCCTGCCGTGCGAGAAATGCGGGGGGTGTGCCGAAATGGGTGGGGGTGACGCATGCGGGCGGCGGCACTGAGGCCTTCGGTGGAGCTCCCTATGGAGCCACGAAACGTGTGAGGGGTGTGCCGAAATGGGTGTGGGGGACGCATGCGGCCGCGGGCACTGGGGCCTTCGGTGGAGCTCCCTATGGAGCCACGAAACGTGTGAGGGGTGTGCCGAAATGGGTGTGGGGGACGCATGCGGCCGCGGGCACTGGGGCCTTCGGTGGAGCTCCCTATGGAGCCACGAAACGTGTGAGGGGTGTGCCGAAATGGGTGTGGGGGACGCATGCGGCCGCGGGCACTGGGGCCTTCGGTGGAGCTCCCTATGGAGCCACGAAACGTGTGAGGGGTGTGCCGAAATGGGTGTGGGGGACGCATGCGGCCGCGGGCACTGGGGCCTTCGGTGGAGCTCCCTATGGAGCCACGAAACGTGTGAGGGGTGTGCCGAAATGGGTGTGGGGGACGCATGCGGCCGCGGGCACTGGGGCCTTCGGTGGAGCTCCCTATGGAGCCACGAAACGTGTGAGGGGTGTGCCGAAATGGGTGTGGGGGACGCATGCGGCCGCGGGCACTGGGGCCTTCGGTGGAGCTCCCTATGGAGCCACGAAACGTGTGAGGGGTGTGCCGAAATGGGTGTGGGGGACGCATGCGGCCGCGGGCACTGGGGCCTTCGGTGGAGCTCCCTATGGAGCCACGAAACGTGTGAGGGGTGTGCCGAAATGGGTGTGGGGGACGCATGCGGCCGCGGGCACTGGGGCCTTCGGTGGAGCTCCCTATGGAGCCACGAAGCGTGTGAGGGGTGTGCCGACATGGGTGTGGGGGACGCATGCGGCCGCGGGCACTGGGGCCTTCGGTGGAGCTCCCTATGGAGCCACGAAACGTGTGAGGGGTGTGCCGAAATGGGTGTTGATGATGATGCTGATGATGATGATGATGATGGGAGGGGGGAGGAGGCAGCGGGAGAAAGGAAGGAGGGAGAACGCGGGGCACCGTCTCTTCAAAACGAGGACCCAACACCACAGGATGGTTGGGGGGGGGAAAAAAAAAAAAAAAAAAAAAAAAAAAAAAAAAAAAAAAAAAAAAAAAAAAAAAAACACGCCTCCACCGCAGTTCCCCCTACTGACCACCGAGGGGGAGGCAGGGGCGTTTAGGGGGTGGCCGGCGGCGCTGGTGCGGAGGACTGCTCCGGGGAGATCCAGCGCAAGGCCCGCCGCGCCCGGGGCGGGCCCACGAAGCCCACGGCGGAGCCCCCATCATCATCATCGTTTTCGTCATCATCAGTATCATCACCATCATCATCGTCATCATCATCGTCATAGCCATCATCGTCATCAACATCGTCATCGTCATCGTCACCGTCGTCGTCGGCATCATCATCATCATCAGCATCAGCATTAGCATCATCATCCTCATCATCATCATCATCATCATCATCCTTGTCATCATGATCATCATCATCACCATCATCAGCACCACCATCATCATCATCATTATCATTGTGAGTGGTCCTTCACTGGTTTGTCGTCGTTCTTTGCTTCGTCGGCTCCCGAGGTTTCTCCTGCCCCGTTCTTGCCCGACACCGGCGTCTTCGAGGCCCAAGGTTTCCGAGCGTTTTCGTCGGTTCTTGTTGGACGTTGCTTGCTGCCTCGGCATGCGTTCCAGCAGCTGCGCCTCGCCAAGAGGGCCCGAACCATCCCGAGCGGCCGCCAGAGACCCGAGGCATGACCCGAAGACCGGGTGACCCCTCGCCGAAGTGGCCTCTTGGTGCGTGTTTCCTGAGAGGCTTCGCATCGCACGCAGCGGACGGCAAGCCGCGCGCCAAGGGGCAATCTTGCCCAGGGTCAGTCGGGCGTGGAGCCGACCTCTCAGCGTGTGGCGTTTTCCCAGTGGCGACAGTCGCCAGCTCTGGCTGCTCCCTCCCAAGATACACGATCTACGGTCAACGCGTGGCCTTCTTTGGGTTCGCTGTTCATAAAGCCCTCCTCGTGCACCCAGGCGCTACTGGCGCCAAAATGGGGCTTCGTTCCTCTTTGAGCGTTCCTTCTGGTAGCACCTCGACTGCATGTCACCCCGCATCGAAGGAGAGGGGTCCTTAGGGGAGAGGGGCGGCTCTGGAGACGTTTCAAAGTGCTTGCGCCGTCGGCGCTTCTCGTGCCAAGGGGATGTCGAATGATCACTGCGCGACCGTTTTGGAGTCTCCTTTCCTCCAAAGCCAGTCGAAGCAGGCTTGATCCATGCAAAGCGATTCAACGTTTGGTATTGCTTGGCGTTAGTTTGGGTCGTAGCCTGGGACCTGCGCTTGACATTCTCTGATTGTCTCCCGGCATTGCTTGGCATGTTTCAACATTGCTCCGCGTTGCTTCCAGTTGCATGGCGTTGCGTGGCATTGCTTGGCAGTGCTTGGCATTATTTGACATTGCTTGGCGTTGCCTGGCATCGCTTGGCATTGCTTGACATGTCTTGGCATTGCTTGGCATTGCGTGGCATTGCCCGGCGTTGCGTGCCGTTGCTTAGCGTCGCTCGTCGTTGTTTGGCACCGTTTGGCATTGTTTCGTAGTGTTTGGCATTGCTTAGCATTGCTTGGCATTGGAATTGGCTTGGCATTGCTTGGCGCTGCTTGACATTGATTGGCATCGCTTGGCCCTACTCAGCCTGGCTTGACATTGTTTGCCATTGCTTGCCATTGCTTGGCGTTGCGTGGACCCCGGGCAATCCCGAAGATGGCATTGGGGAAGGAAGCGGACCCACGCGTTTCTTCAGTGAAGAAACCATCAAGCGAAGCCTAATTGGGTAACGACTACTCGGGACGGAACGCTGGTCCCAGGGGGAGGCCCCAGTGTCCAGGACCCGTTTCCTTCAGGACCCGTTCCATTCGCTTCACGCAAGCATTTCTCTGGTTCCCCCCTTCATCATCCCCCAATTCATCGTTCTCATCATTCTTATGTTCTGCCCATTAGATCCCCTGCTGCGCGCCGCCCATCACGTTTGCTCATGTTGCGCGGAGTTCGCTCCAATCTGCACCCTTGTGCGCGTGTGTGTGATCGTCTTTTGGTATATGCCCACTTGCGCGCTGAAACTTCTGCGACGGACGAGATCCGTGATACATGTATACAGATATATACGTACGTTTTCAACTATACATGCATCACTACATACATACACACAGATACATAAAGTCATACAGACATACATGCACACATACATACCTATGTACATATGTACATACGTGTGTATAGCAGCTCTACGCGTTGTCATGAGGCCCTGATTGGCCCAGACGGCGCAATTGTTTCCAGCGCCTCCTCGTTCAGCAGCCGGCGCCCGCCTGCGCCAGGTGCTGGCGCGTGGTGAGCTCAGTACAGCACGGAACCCGTCCGCGGTGCCGCTCTTTTCTATGCAGCCAGAGTTGGGCAGGAGAAGTAGCGAGGAGAAGGATGAGGGACAGGAGGGGCAAGCGGAGCAGAGTTCGCCATCAAGACCATATGGCCAGCGCTTTCCGTCGAAAAAGAGCAGTTCACACTACCATGAACTTTCGCAGCTCCGTGCGAATTTCTTGGATCGGCGCTGGAGTAAGATGGATTGGGGGGGATCGAGGACATGGGAAGGATCAAGAAATGTAAGTAAGGAGGAGAGAGGGAGGGAGGAGGAGGAGGAACAGACACCGGAGGAATCAGAGCATGACCGCGGGCAGAAAAACGACGGCGACGACGAGGAGGGAGGGGGAGAACAGGCGGAGGTGGGAGGAACGTGCATGGAGCGGGGGCGAGGAAGGATAATGATGGGGTGTGGAAGGGGGACAAGGACGACGTCGGCGACGAGGACGGCGAAGACGACGGCGAGGACGATCTCGAAGACGAGGACGACCTCGACGACGAAGACGACGACGAAGACGATCGCGACGACGACGACGAGCAGCGGCGGCAGTCGAAGACGACCACGAGGATGGCGACGACGGCAATGACGACGACGACGACGACACAGACGATGACGACAACGACAACGACTGACGTTGTCTGGGGGTCCCCAGCGGCGTTACCACCAAGAGGTCAGCAGAGTTCCCCGCGGAGGTCCCCGGTGGCCTCCATAGGCTTTTAGGTGTTCCGAACATGCAGAAACGCCCGGACACTTGGACCCTCGGACCTCGTGTTTCCTGAAAGACGACGCCGTTGACGACGACGCTGACGACGACAACCACTACCACGACGACCACCACGACGACCACAACGACGACGACTACCACCACGACCACGACGACAGCAACCACCATGACGACGACGACGATGAGGACCACCACGTCAACGACCACCACCACGACCACGACGACAAAATGTCAGTGACATCCACGACCACGACATCGACGACGACACAACGACGGCGTCGACGACGACCACCACCACCACGACGACGACGATGGCAACGACGAGGACCACCACGACGACGACGACGACGACGATCACCACGACAACGACGACGGCAAAACGACAGCGACGAGGACCACCACCACCACCACGACGACGACGACGACCACCACAACCACCACGACCACAACGGCAAACCGACGGCGATGACCACGACCAAGAGCATGGCCACGACCATGACGACGACCACGACCACGACCACGGCCCTGACGACGACGGCGAAGTCGACTACCACGACGACGACGACGACGAGGTCTACCACCACGACGACGACGACGACTACTACCACCACCAACACCACGACGACGAGGACTCTGACCACGACGACGACCTCAACGACCACGACGGCAAAACAACGGCGACGACCACGACCATGACAACGACGACGACAAAACGACGACGACGACGGCGACGGCCACGACCACGACCACGACCACGGCCACGACGACGACGACCACCCCCACAACGACGACGACGACGAGGACCACCACCGCGATGACGGTCACGACCACGACGGCAAAACGACAGCGAAGACCACGACAACGACCACGACAAAACGACGGCGTCGACGACTGAGGACGACCACGTCCAAGAGCACGTCCACGACGACGACGATGACGAGGACGTGATGTCGACGAAGACGACGACGACGACGACTACCACGACGACGACGACGACGACCACCGTCACCACCACCACGACGACGACGAGGACCACCACGACGACGACCACCACGACAGCGACGGCAAAACGACCACGACGTCCGCGACCACGACCACGACGGCGGTCAAACGATGGCGCCGACGTCGACAACGAATACCACGACCACGGTCACGACGACGACGACGACGATGAAGACGACGACGACGACGACGACGACGACGACGACGACGACGACGACGACGACGACGACGACGACGACGACGACGACGGCTACCACGACGACGACGACCACCACCACCACAACGACGACGACGCGGACCACGACGACGACGACCACCACCACGACCACGTTGGCAGCACGACTGCGACGACCTCGACGACGACTGCGGCGAACGGCGGCGGCAGCGGGCGCCCTCGAAGGCCGTGCTCGCCCGCATCCGCGACGCCCGCGCGGGCAGCAGGCGCCCTCCGCGGCGGGCCCCCGCGGCGCGGTGGTCCCCGTCTTCGCCGACGGCGGCCTGCCATAACACGCGACGCTTGGCGGTCGGCGACGGTGGCCCTGCAGCCACATGACGACGACGACGACGACGACGGCGGCGACGACGACGACGACAACGACGACGACGACGACGACAACGACAACGGCCACGGCGGCGGCGACGGCGACGGCGACTGCGGCAGCTGCGACCGCGGCGGCGGAGGCGGCGACCACGGCGGCGAGCGGCGGCGACGGTGACGACGACGTCGAAGCCTGCCTCCCTGGGGCGCGACGGGAAGGGCATCCTCCAAGGCCGGGTCGCAGACCCCGCCCCCCGCCCTTGGCCTGCCTGGAGTGCTCGTGGCTCGCTGGTGGGCTCGGGCTGCGCCGGGGTTGTGTTGCGCACCCGTCGAGAGCAGCCGTGCTGCACGAGGCTGGCCGCGCTCTCTGACGCCACGGGCCAGAGCTGGCCCGACAGCACGTCGAAGCAAAAGAGGAGAGGGTCGTCATTAACGTCGTCGTCGACGTCGATGTCGACGACGTCGGCAGGGTAATGTCATAACGGTATTTCCGACGTCGTCGTCGAAGGCGGCCTCCCTGGAGCACGACGAGGTGTCGTAGCACGATGGGCCCCGAGGACGAGGAGTGGAGGGTCGGGGGGAGGGAGAGCGCGCACACCGCCAGGGCGAGGTTGGCCACCGACCCGACGGCGGCTCGGGAGGTCCGGGGTCATTCGGAGGACTTGGATGCTGCGGTGGATTCGCGCCTCAGTGAAGCGGCGGCGACCCGAAGTGCGTGCGTTCGAGATTGAACGCCGCCACGGGCCCAGAATCGGCCGATGGCGAGCGCTCTGCGCAATTAGAGAGCCGCGATCGTTCAAGGTTGAACGCTCCGCGCGGCGTCAGACACCAACGCCAGCGACATCGCGACGCGGGCCAGCCACGGTCATCGTTCATCCGAGTCGGTGGAAACGAAAAGGAGTAGAGCTGGACGGCGACCACGACGATGCCACGAGCGGGACATGGCGGGCATGTCGGAGTCGGGGCTCGAGAGACGGGGGTTGATGCAAACGGGGGTCAGCCAGGGCGCCAGATCTTGCAGGATCCTGCACAGCCAGGGGTGCACTGACCCGAGCCTGCGTGCAGGCTCTTGCAGGATCTTGAAGGGCCCTGCAAAGCCCGCCTGACCTGGGTCTGGATTGACCCGGGTCAGTACACCTTAGGCGATGCTTAAGAAAACCTAAGTTTTCGGCCAGAGTCTCGATTATTCTTAACGTTTCAATGTAAATCCTAAGATTTTGATAGACATGTTGGGTTTTTATTCAAGTTCTGAGACCATGAATTTCTTAACCCATTATTTCTTAACCATTTCGCGTGGTGTAGATCCCCGACAGAGTGCGATGGGCCCAAGAGAGTGCCAGGAAATCCGGAGCGGCGCGTCTGACGACCGTCGTCCCTGGAGCCAGCGCGGAGGCACAGGGAATCCTGGGGGGCGTCTTGGGAAGCATCGCTGCGCTTCGGACGCATCACACATGGGGCCCGAGCAGACGGGGTCAGAGGATCTCCAGTCGGGACGATCGGAAGGGGTACGGGAAGAATGGGTATGCCAATTGCAATTCCTGTGGATTTTGAACAGGACTCGCTGTCCGCGCCGCCGCGGACGTTGTTCTTTTGAGACAGAAGGCCGCCTGCCCAACAGTGGCCGCTGTCGATTTTGGACGGCATTTGTTGTGTGGCACTGTGCCAATCTTTCTCCGTACCCTTAAGTCGGGCGTGCTTCTTTCAAGCCGGGCGTGTCTCTTCGATTTTCTCATCGCCTACCTCCTCTCCCCCCGCGTGGCCGCTCCCTCTTCTCCTCCTCGCTCTCCTGCACGCCGGGCAATTTGCCTACCGGTGCCCATCGCCTCCGCCTCGCCGCCGACGACGGCGGCCTCTAACGACTGGCGAGGTTCGCGATCTCCGACGAGTTGTTTCTTCAAGAGTTCCTCGATTTCGGCCTCGTTCGAGGCGTGCTTCCTCGGTTTCGTCGGTTTCGGCCTCGTTCGGGGGTGCGTTTCCCCGGTTCGAGGCCGACCTCCTCCTCCGCCTCCTCCGCCTCCTCCTCCTCCTCCTCCTACTCCTCCTCCTCCTCCTCCTCCTCCTCCTCCTCCTCCTCCTCCTCCTCCTCCTCCTCCTCCTCCTCCTCGGTGTCGGCCTGCCTTCTCGAGTTCGGCCTCGTGCGAGGCCTGTCTCCTCGAGTTCGGCCTTCTGGGGCCCGTGGCCCGGCCATCGAAAATAGTCCAGTTTAAATCGGGCCTGTCCCTTTTCAGGAGGGATATTTTTTTATAACAAAAAAAAACGGGCCTGTCCCTCTTCAGGAGGGATATTAAAATAAATAATAAAAAAAAAGAAAAAACAAAAAAACGCTTGTTTGCTCAAGAACAAATAGTCTGGGGACGATGTTTTGAATATTTGTTTTACCCAGTTGGATTACTTGTCTGTGCTTCTTAATTTATCCAGAATCGGCCTGTAGGGGGACACGCCCGACCTAAAACTAGATCCGGGATGAGACACTTTTGCTCTATAGGGAGAAGGCCGGGACCCCGTGTGGGGTCGATGGCGACTTCTGACGACTGGGGAGGCTCCGTCAGTCCAAAGCCGAGCACCCGCTCTGGCCCCTCCAGCAGCGCCTCCGGCGCCGCCCCCGGCGCGCTCCGCGCGCCGAGGGGGGTCCGGCGAGGATCCGAGAGAAATCCGCGCGGAGCGCCAGAAGTTTGCGCCTATGCCGTGCTTTCTTCTTCTGGAGCGGGAAGTTCTGACTTGGCACGCGTGAGGAGAGGGGGAGAGGGGGGAGGGGGGGGGCGAGGAGGGGAGGGGGGGGCAAGGAGGAGCCACATTCGGAAGCCAGACTGGCAAGGTTCAGGTCGGGTGAAACGGTTGCATCGAAATCTGCCCCTGCTGTGAAATTTGCACAGGCTGGGACCCCTGATTGGGACCCAGGGCGCTGTGCTTACAACCAGCAGCAAGAATTGTTCTGTCACGTGTTGAACTGGCTCAAGAACAACTGTGCACAACCCGTTGCACGAGCTCTCACGTGGGAAGCGGTACACACGTCGTCGCCGAATCGACCACGATGTCCGACTGTGGCTTCACGGCTTCCGAACGTGGTCGAACGCCGTCGAATGGTGCCGGGGGCTTCCGCGAGTGCTCGCAGGCGTTCGCCCGCCGCCGAGCCTCCGGGGCCCTCCCCCGGAGAAGGCCCCGCGGGGAACGCCGGAGGCCCTCGGGCAACGTCGGCCGTCGTCGTCGGCGTCGTCTTGGAACCCGGCGGTGCTCGTGGGCCCCGTCGCCGCCGGGGCTCTTCCAGGCGAGCCTAGGTCGGGCACGTCCCTCTACAGGAGAAGTACTCAAAAATAGTCTGGGGACGACTTTTGTGCTTCATTTTTTATGCATTTGGGAGGTATCTTCAATTTGTCGCCCAAAATCCGCCTGTAGGGGGACATGCCCGACCTGAGCGAAGCACCCCTGGAGCATGCCAGGTGACCGAGCTACTCCTGCGGCCCTTTCTCCTCCTGCTATCTGCTGCTCCTTCACTTCTGGCGCCGGGGTGCCGTTCTGCAGGCCGCTCCGAGGGAGGCCTGCTTCAACGAGGCCCGCATAGGTACCTATCTTGTGCGAGCGGTTGAGCTCACCGGGCACGCTTGCCGCTGCACGACATGCATTAGAAAAAGCGCGATTGAAGGTAAGCCTCCTCCCTCCTGATCCTTCTACTCCTCATTGCCATTCCCATTCCTCCTCATCATCCCCCTGTTCCCCGCGCCCCCATAGATGAGCAGAGAACGAGGCAGATAGATAGGAAGAAGGAGAGGAGAAGAGGGACAGAGAATGAGAGAGAGAGAGAAAAAAAAAAAAGGTCGACATACTTTCATGTGTTAGTACATATATATATATGTAGATATACACAGCACATGCATTGAATTATCCCAGTGCGACCCTACCTAGGAGTTGGATCATCTAGGAAAGCAACATCTACATATACACCGACAGCTAACTATGTTATGCTATGCTATGATAAGCTGCGCTATGCTATGCTGTGCTATGATATGTTGCGCTATGCTATGCTATGCTATGATATGCTATTCTATGCTGCGCTAGGCTAGGCTAGGCTATGCTGTGCTGTGCTGTGCTATGCTATGCTGCGCTATGCTATGCTATGTTATGGTATGCTATGCTGCGCAATGGTATGCTATGCTATGCTGCGCTATGTTATGCCATGATATGCGATGCTGCGCTATGCTATGCTATGCTGCGCTGTGCTATGAAAAGCTAAGATATGTTATGCTATGCTGCGCTATGCTATGATATGCTATGCTAAGACATGCTATGACATGCTATGATATACTATGCTAATGCTACGCTAAGCTAAACTGAGCTACGCTAAGCTAAGCTAGACTAGGTTAAGCTAAGCTAAGCTAAGCTAGGCTAGGCTAGGCTAAGCTAAGCTAAGCTAAGTTAAGCTAGGCTAAGCTAAGATGAGATAAGCAACGCTAAGCTAAGGAGACGTAACAGGGGGAACCGCGGGGCGGATGCTGGGGCAACCGCCCGGGGCGGGCCCCAGTGCCCGGCCTTTTAAGCCACCGAGTAAGAACCCTTCTAGGCAGAGCCTAGGTAGGGAACAAGACTGACATGGGGAGCTTTGGATAACTGAGAGACGATAAAGAGATATATGCGAACCCATGGAGGTTGAGAGAGAGACGGGGACCGAGAGAGAGACAGAGAGAAAGCGAGAGACAGAGAGAGAGAGAGAGAGCCAATTCTTCCAAACGTGATGCACTTGTACGCGCGCGATCTATCGAGCACCACACTACAGGAGCGCCCTCGTCAAGGGAGGTGGCCACGCACGGCACTGCGAGCACCACCTGGGTACCTTGCGCATTCTTGTGTGTGTGACAGGCTCGAGCGAAGGAACGGCTGACGGGGCACAGAAGGCGAGACTAGTCAGGCCAGATGGTGGACTCTAAAGGGTGGGCCTTGAGAGGGAAAGGTCCTCACAGGTTATAGTGGAGTCGCCCTCCTGCCCCAATTCCAGCTACATCCTTGATCCGGACGGCCACGGCCCCCTGTGAAAGGTGCACCAAGTTGCACATGGCCGCGCCGTGCTGCTGTTTGGTCAGCCACGCGCAGAGGGGGGTGGAGGGAGGGGGGAGGGCTTCGTAGAGGCACCCCTGCGTCTTAGAAGGCGCGGGCCTTATCTGTAGGTACAGGGCAGCCGCCTTCTAAGAAGCAGCCTTCTTCTAAGAAGCCCTCCACCCGCCCTCCACCCCCTTGTGCGCGCCGCCAAGTTGGGGTGATTTTTGCAAAAAGTTATCTTTACGGCGCGGGCATGTCTGGCCTGGACACACAATGTGTGGGGGGTCCCTCGCCCTCACGCCTCCGCGCCCCTCACTGGGGAGACCAAAAGGTACCGATACCGCTACTCCCAGGACCTCTCCCGGGGTTCGTTCTGACCAGGATCTCGAGGCGAATCCAACGGAGGCGACGAGGGACTCCGAGGAGGCCCAAAAAGGGGAAAACGGGCGGAGGGTAGCGGTATGGGTACCTTTTTCTCCTCTGACTCACGCGCGCCCCCGCAGCTTCTCCGGCGGCGGCGGTGGCCGCGAAGCACCTCGGAACAGCGCGGACCGCCCCCGCCGCACCGCAGCACGCGGGCCGCGCGGAAGAAGCACGACCGGCGGCCCTGGAAGGGTCGGGCGGCAACGACGACGACGACAAAACGACGACGACGACGACGACGACGACGACGACGGCGACGACGACAAAACGACGACGACGACGACGATAACGACGATGGGGTCGACGGCTCCTGGAGCTTGTTCCCTCGGGATCCGTGCCAGCAGCTGCGCCTCGCAGACAGCGTTCCTGGCTCCCGGGGGGCTCCAGAGCGCCCCGAACCGGCCGCTGGAGGCCCGAGTTGTGACCCGACAGTGCGCGCACCCCCTGGCGGCGGCGCACGACCTTCGACTGCCACTCAGCGGCCAGTCCAGGCAACGGCAGTCTTAAGTCGGGCACGTCCCTCTGCAGGAGGAAGATTCAGAAATAGTCCAAACATAGTCTGTGGACGATTCTTGTTACTATTCTATGTATTATGATTTGGGGGCATGTTTGAATATTCTTAATTATTCGCCCAGAATCCGCCTGTAGGGGGACATGCCCGACCTAAGCGAAGCACCCTGGAGCATGCCAGGTGACCGAGCTACTCCTGCGGCCCGTTTTCCTCCTGCTATCTGCTGCGCCTTCACTTCTGCCACAGGGGTGCCGTTCTGCCGCTCCGAGGGGTGCCTGCTTCAACGAGGCACGCATAGGCACCTATCTTGTGCGAGCGGTTGAGCTCACCGGGCACGCTTGCCGCGTCGCCACGGCTTGACGCGCCTCGGAAGATTGTTGCGCCTGGGCCAGGTCCGGGGACCAGGTCTCGAGCTGCCCTGGTCTCAGTTCGCCCTGCCCCGATCCACGGGCGGCTTCGCGACGCGGGGGCGCTGTCTTCGCAGGAGGGCAAGGAGGGAGGACGGGGTGGGAGCACAAGGAGCAAGAAGGAGGAGGAGGAGGAGGAGGAGGAGGAGGAGGAGGAGGAGGGAGGAGGGAGGAGGGAGGGAGGGAGGGAGGGAGGAGGGAGGGAGGAGGAGGAGGAGGAGGAGGAGGAGGAGGAGGAGGCTGCACCAGGTTGCCGAATGCACTGGGCTGTATTCATTACGTGAGAACGAAGCAGACACGCAGCGTGCCTCCAAGCTGCGTGTTATCACCCCCCTCCACCTCCCCGTTTCACGGGCAGTCGGTCGCTGCCGACGGGCTCAGAGAACGGCGTCACGACGGGCGCGCAGTCCAGCAGGGGCCCTGCGTTTCGTTCCTCTCCCCTGTCGCCTCGTCGTTTGCTCCCCCCTCTGTGCTCGTGTCCTTGTCGTCGTCGTCCTCCGAGTACTGTGGGCTGGCGAGGCGCTATCCCTGGGCCGACGCCCATGCAGTTCGCTTCAAGACGTCCTGCGATGCTCACAAGGCGGCCCGAGATGGGGCAGTGTACAGATCCCTGGCGGCCCTCCCCCCCGATATGGCCCCCAAGACACCAAAGAGGCCCCCCAAAGGGTCCCAAATCCCGTGAGAACCACCACAGACAGTTTTCAAAGACTCCCAGAGGTCCCTCCAAGAGCCCCCCAAGAAGAGCCGTATCCGATTCTAAGAGACCTACACAACACGCATGAGGTAGACGCCTTGGACTAGAACCTAAGCGCGCAGGTGCGCGCATGGTTTTTAGTGTGTGTGTGTGTGTACACACATATATACTGTGTGTACACACATTATACATATACACACATATATATAGGTGTAAATACATATATATATATATACACATACTGATGTTCCCAGACATAGTTTAATTCATCCGGCCACTGCGGAAACCCTCCCCCCCCGCCCCCCCCCCCCAGAAACAGGACTTTGCTGGACGCCCCTGGAAGGGGTCCTGACGGATATCCAGGATTCGCCGATATGTGCAAAATACCAAGCGGCGGCTCCACGAGGCCACCAAGAAAGTCCAAGATGGCCTCCAGCGGCCCCTGACCCCCGCCAGACGCCCGAAGACGGCCCATATATGTCCCCCAAGAACGTGTCAAATCGCAGAAGGGTTGATGTCCCTTTGGCTTTCGTATGATTTGGGGCTGCTCGGTTGTTATGTCTACCGGGCGTCCGAGAACGCCCGAGAAGCACCGAAAATGCTCCAAGATGACCATCAGAAGACCCTTGACAGTCCAAGAGAGCCCCAGGACGGCCCAAGAGGGTTCAGAAAGTGCCCACAGAGGGAGCCATGACGGGCCGAAATTGCCCCAAGACGCCCTTTAGAAGAATTCGAGTTGCGACCCGAGACCATGATTCGCGGCATGGTGGCCCGAGGAACCCCCCAGAGGCCGCCAAAAGGCGCCAGGAACGTCTCCAGAGGCGCCCTATCAAGTTTTCGCGAGGTCCTCTAGAAGCTCGCCTTGGAGGAGCCTCCGCAAACAAATCTGTGGAGGACGGGGAAGAGTTCGCAAGGCAATGCGGGCAAGAACGAGGAAGAGGAAGAAGCAGAGGAGACATGAGGGAAGGAGAAGGAACACCATCATAAGAACGGTGACGGCGAACATTGCAACGAACAGCAAGCGTTGTTTTGGTTGATCGACCCCTCTCTCGTTCTGCCTGCATGCCGGAAGTGAAGGACCTAGGCGCATGGCGCGAAGCGCCAATGCAGACTGGTAGATATATGTATAGGCGTGTGTATACATATGTGCGTATGGGTACATGTCTGAATACAATATATACATGCCTGCATATACACGCATGTGTACGTATATATATATATATACACATGTGTATGTATATCGATACTTACATATATGTATATACATATGTGTATATCGATGCAGTTGTATATATACATATATATATGTATATATGTATATGTATGCGTATCTGTCTATCTAGAATTATGTTGGTAGGCAGATAAATACATCGACATACTGTCCTACATACATATTTATGTATACCTTCAAATATTGATCACGGCGACATGTCGCTGTACACATATGGAGAGTCCACATCTTCTACATGAGAAGGATGTGTATATGTAATATGGTGAGGTGTATTTGTATACATATACACCTACTATAGAAAGAGCGTGGCCCCCGGGCACGGGCACGACGCGCGGGCGCCCGTGGTGGCGGCGCGCAGGGCGGCGTCGGTGTGCGGAGGCGCCCTCCGGGCGCACGGCTCGGCTCAATCCGGGCCTCCCATATTCACCACTCACCAAACCACCCCAACCCAACCCGAAGGCTTCAATTTGCCCTCCATTTCCGGTTGGGGGGGGTCGGGGAACATTGAAAAAACACATGGAACCCGTACCCCCCCCAACCCGAAATTCGGGTCAAATTCGGGTCTTCGGGTTGGGTTGGGGTGGTCTGGTAGGTAGTCACATATGGGGTCCGCGCAGAGGGGGTCGCATGGAGCGGCCAAGAGGGGGGGGGGGACTACAGCCAACCGCATAGGAAGGATGGGCAAAAATTTGTCCCAGGGGGGACCCTTTGCATCCTTGCCTCCTCGGTCCATCCTTGGCCACTCTCGTCGGCCGCGCCCTGCTCGAAAAGCTTCGAAACGGCCTTCCAGGGGCCTTGCATCCTCATCGTGCAACCTTATGATACGGGTCGACTGTAGGGGGGGTGGACATCATGGCGGGGGCCATAACATCTCCCCACATTTCATGGCGCCTCTTCTTGAAGCAGTGCGTCCCTTGGCCCCCCTGGGCCGCGCACATGCCGCCGGCCATGATTTGCGCCCCCTCCCGTTCTTTGACGCCCCCCTCTTGGACGCCCCAGAGAGAAATGGAGGAGGGGCTGAAGAAAGGTGCACCTTTTGTGCGCTCAAAGGGCCATAAACGAGCCACTTGGGGCGCCCAAAGGGGTACTTCAGGTGCACAGTTCTTCGCCCCCCCCCCCTCCCCCCATGTATCGCAAAGACCAAGGACTGCCTTGACCCTCTAAGCCTCCCAGATGGGGTCCAAGGACCGCGCCGCATCGCCAATGCACTGCCGACGCGGCTCGATGTGGCGCCTGAAATGCTCTGCGCTGGCGTCGCCGATGCACCGCCGACGTCGCCGATGCATCGGCGATGCGGCACGATCCGTGGACCCCATCTTCTCGGACCCCATCTGGGAAGCCTCTATCCCAAAGCTGCGGGGACGCCCTCCGCCCACATGGATCCCCGCTGGGCTCTGCCGGGTGGCGGGGCAGGGCTGTACTTCCACCGGAGCGCCCTGCCAACGCGGAGGGCATGCGAGTCGTTGCAGAGAGGGCCTCGCTTGCCGCGCGTCTCGCCCTCGGCGGAAGCAAGGCGGCGGCGGGTCTGTCGGCGGATGGCGGCGATCAGGCTTGGTGGCGGGCTGAGGATTTGCGGAGGAGGCCGCATGTTCGATTCCAGGGGCAGCAGGGTTTTCGATTCCAGGTCGACGGTTCCGCCTCCCCCTTAGTACTACAGCAAGTCAGCCCTGCGTTTCAGGGGAGGCCGCTTCGATTTCCGCGCGCGTCGTCTCACCGTGCCCTGATATCACACGTGCGTGTTGGCCGCGGTGTTGCCTCTGATGGTTGGTGCATCGGTGCTCTTCGGTTTGTCCGCGACGTGCTCGGAACAAGTTTGGCGGCATGTTTGGTGTTGTTTCCGTCGGTGCGCCCAGGCTGCAGAGTTAGACTTTGCTAACGTGTGCCAATTCCCCATCTTCGGCGTCTGGGCTTTCTCATGTCGGCGAACGCAGTGCAAGACGTTGTGCAAGTCCATAGGCTTCCCATCCGCTTCGGAGAACGAGCATAAGCACATCGTGTGAGAGATGATGGGGGCGTGGGAGAGGCACAGGGGACGACAACGCGATGACGAGTGCGAAGGCGGTCACCATACACGATCAGCGCGTCCCCAGGACGTAGAAGACTTCATCAGGAGCAACGACGTTGACGAGAGCGCGGCAGACTCGCTGAGGAGATTCCGTTCGAGCATGTTCGTCCCTCGCTCTCTCTCTCTCTCTCTTGCATGTTGCATGCTCTGCGTATCCATCATGTGTGCCATCTCTCTCTTTCCTCTTCGGTTCGGACGAAGCGGGGGGATACGGAAAGGGGGGGGGGGGAGGTGCACGTCTGCTGCATGCAGCTGGTTTCGGCCCCGCCGCCGGGCGACTTCCTCGATGTACATGGGACGCCGCCTGGCGCCCGGAGGCGCTGAGGAAATCAGCTTCGCGAGCTGATTCGTTCGCACCTTTTTGCTTTCCCCCTCTTTCGTCCGTTCCGATCCTTCCCTCGTCGAGGAGCAGAATGCGGCATAAACATAGTCGAGCTCAGCGCGGATGTTTTGGATCGCGCGCCAGGGAGGGGGTCCTAGCGCCGATCCAAGAAGTTCGAAGCTCCGAGAGTCTATCTTTATGCCACTTGTTGTCCCTCGACCTCGCTGCCATGTTCCCGCCTCGTACCTCCCTTTCTCCTCCAGTCGTTGCTCCTGCGCGTACGTGCTGACAGGAGGGAGGGCTTTTGTAATTCAGGCCATTCTGGAGAGGCGACGTGGTCGCCGCAAGCTCACCCAGAGCGCTTAAAAAAAGCCAGCATTCCGAACACAGGCCTCAGCGGGACGGGGCCTAGGACGAGGATCAACCCTTTCCAGAGCGTTCCGGAACGCCCTCAGAGCGTCCCGGAACGCCATGAGAAGGCCGCGGCGCCCGAGACACCAGCCGCCGTATCTCAGAGATGTTGGTTTCATCTTCGCCCGATTTTATCCTTAAGTCGGGCGTGTCCCACTGCGGGAGGAACATTCAAAAACAGTCAAAACATAGTCTGGGAACGATGTTTCGACTATTCTTGGATATGTTTAAGAATTGTTTGAGTTTTCTGTTTTCTGTTTTCTCCCCAAATCCGCCTGTCGGGGGACATGCCCGACCTGATCTTATCCTCGTGCTGGCTTCGTCTTGCTGAGGCCGTCGTTGGTGACGCCTTGAGGGGGGGCCACAGGGCGACGAGGGGCATCGGCGGGAGGGAGGGAGCAGCAGCAGCAGCAGCAGCGGGGTCGAGGCCCGCGGCTCGAGGCGCGGGAGCGTAGGATTAAGTCGTGCATGTCCCTTTACAGAGGAAAGGCTCAAAAATAGTCAAGCAACAGTCTGGGGCGACTTTTTGATGTCTGGGGCTCCTTGGAGGTATTCTCTCACTGTTTCAAAAACTCTGTGCTCAAGATCCGTCTGTGGGGGGACATGCCCGACCTAACACTGGGAGGGGGGGAGCACGAGCACGCCTGCCGGGGCGAGGAGGACCCGGAGATCCGACGCTCCGGCAAAAACGGGAGCGGCGGGCCTGTGGCCGTTCTCGGCCTCCGGGGGTCCCTCGCCGGGCCTCCGGGAGCGTCGAGGAACGACTCGGGGCGCGAGGCCGGCCCCAGGGAAGCAGTGGTCCAGACCTCTGGGGCCCAGGCCTCGGAAAAGCATTGAGCATGTCTGAGGAGGAGAAGGAGGAGGAGGCGAAGGAGGAGGAAGGAGGAGGAGGAGGAGGAGGAGGAGGAGGAGGAGGAGGAGGAAGGGGAAGAGGGGAAGGAGTAGGAGGAGGAGGGAGGAGGAGGAGGAGGAGGAGGAGGAGTAGGAGGAGGGAGGAGGAGAAGGAGGAGGAGGAGGAGGAGGAGGACGAAGACGACAACGACGACGACGAGAAGACGACGACGACGAGACGACGACGACGATGGAGACGTCTGCACGCGGCGCAGCAAAGCCAGCGCACTGGAGCGAGAGCGAGGCGGGGGAAAGAGAGAAAGGGGGGAGGCAGAGAGAGGGCATGACAGTGCAAAACCAGGAAAGGCATGAATCGGACCCAACCTGCCGTCGACTGACTGCGCTACCCATACTACAAGCTGCATAGCATGCTGGCTTGGCACCAGCCTGGCTCTGGTTATGATGTTCCAACCTACTGTAGCCTTGATCGCCAGAAAGAATTTCGAGTCCATGAAATGACCGAAACTTCAAGGTTTTCACGTGTCGGGCCCTGAAAGGCGATATTCGTTCGACATTGTTTCGATACTCTTCTGGGTGCTCGAAATTATTTCAGTCATGTGGTCCTCAAGTACGGTGGGAGCAACTCGAGGCTCTGGGTCGGTCTAGGACAAGCCCATGTAGTCGCAGGTGCGCGCGCCAACAAACGCACGAGGGGGGGGGCGGAGCGGGAGAGGGGGGCAGAGAGAGAGAGAGAGACACACAGGGGGAGGGAATGAGAGGGAGAGAGGTAGAGAAAGAGAGATCCCGAAAGAAGAGACCACCTGCCCACACAGGCGATCGCAAACATGGATTAAGGGGGCGTGGATTAGCGACGGGTCCTGTTTCCATGGGAAATCGCGGATTCCCGCCGGCGAGCGAGGCGGCACCGGCCGCATTTGGGGGAGGGCACCTCCCCCGATCCATGGATTTGGCTTCCGCGCGCCTAGTCCATGGATCGCTAATCCATGTTTACGCGCCCCCGACCCACCTGCGCCGCAAGGGGTGCAGCAACGCACGCCGCGCATCCCCGGCACCACCTCTCTCCTCATCGCCCTCGCCGCGGCGGCGACCCTGTGGGGTGGAGGGTAGGGACGCACGCCCTCATTTCCGGCCATTATTGAGCTGTTTTCGTCTCGGTCCGCTCAAATTTTTGACTCGGGTATATTCACAGTGTGCGTTTCACGATCGCGAAGTGCCAACTCGCAAACGTACGAAGAAACATGTCTTCCTCTATGGAATGGACCGTGAATCCCCGCGGGGGATCCAGGCAAGTTTACAGTAGCCACTTTGCAAGCAGTGGAGCGCGCTTGTCCACTTATGTAAGAGTAGCCTTTTCGCCAGAGTGACCTTTAATGCGTGCACTCTGGGATCCCCAGATGGCTGAGCGCGATGCGATGGCAGCGGCTTGCGCGCTCCAGTCTGGCGTCCCCGCGGCCCCCGAAAATCGCGCACCGAAGGTCACGCTCGCACAGGGTCACTCTCACGTGGAACCGGTGCTCAGCCAAGACGCTGAAGGAAGGACCAATTTTGGGCTCAGGAGGGGCTTGGATTCTCGGGGAACTCCTCAGGTCAGAAGGGGACAAAACACACAGACATAATGAATCGTCGATTCCCCCGAAAATAGTGGAAAATATGGGGAGTGGGGGGGGGAAGACAGAGACCCAGAACACATGGGAAAATATAGGGGAATCCTGTTATTTGCGTGTGTTTATGTGTGTGCCCCAGGGCCCCTTCATCAGGCTTGAGTCGAGGAGCCCCTTCACGGCCGCGGCCTGCCGGGCCCATCACGAATGCCGGAGGTGCTCTCGCGAGCCTCGCCTCTCCGGAGGCGGGCCAGCCCAGCAGCCGGGCTCTGCTCGCGCTTTCTACTCCCCCCGAGCCTGGCGGAGGAGGAGCGGCAGAGCGCAGCTGGCTCTGCCGTCGGCGCCGAATGCATGAACGGTCGTTAGAACACAGGGTTTCCCTGCCTGGCGTAGCCCCGCCCTTCCCCCTGCCCTGCCTCTGCCTCCGTCTCCTGCCCGTCTTTTCCGCAGCCCTTTTCGCTCAAGGCGCCTAGGGAGCTGCGCTGTACACCTTAGGCGATGCTTAAGAAAACTTAAGTGTTCGACCAGAGTCTCGATTATTCTTAACTTTTCAATGTAAATCCTAAGATTTGAATGGAAATTTTGGGTTTTTACTCGAGTTCTGAGACTATGAATTTCTTAACCCATGATTTCTTAAGCATTTCGCAGGGTGTATCTCTTTTGGGGGTCGCGATCCGCCCGAGGTCGAGGGGCGGAGCTGTGGAGGGGAAGCCCCAGGGCTGCCGGAATGTTCATACACCTTCGGCGATGCTTAAGGAAACCTAAGTTTTCGTCCAGAGTCTCGATTATTCTTAACGTTTCAGTGAAAATCCCAAGATTTTGATAGAAGTTCCGGCTTTTTATTCAAGTTCTGAGACTATGAATTTCTTAACCCATGATTTCTTAAGCATTTCGCAGGGTGTACCCCCAACGCCAACGGGGGTCAGCCAGGGCACCGGATCCTGCAGGATCCTTCGAAGACCCCCTCTGGCTGACACGGGTTAGCGAGCCGCTCGTGGCCGCGGGGCGGCCGCGCCTATTGGCTGACCCGGGTTTGCGAAGAGCCCTGCGCTGCATTTGTTGTTCCTGCATTGCAGTTCTTTCGTTTCTTGCTGACCCGGGTCTGGATTGACCCGGGTCAGAAGATCCCCGAATGGTGGCACAACGGGGCAGAATTTTTCGAGCCGCCTTTGGGGGCAGGCGTCCCCGACGGCGGGTAAGATTATGCCATGACTCGCCCGCGCGTGATCCCCCCCCGCGCGCGGCCCAGGAGCAGCAGCCCGGGGGTGCAGAGGCAGGTGCTGAGCCGGGGCGAGCTGAAGACCGCCAGGCGCCGGCGAAGTGGCGTCTCTCGGCCGATGGCGGCTGGCGGGGAGGACGGCGGCGAGGAGGGCGAGCAGCGGGGAGGAGGAGGGCTTGAGGAAATAGGGCTCTGGGGGGCCTGAGCTTCGTGTGGGAAGCCAGGCTCCTGCAGCCAAGGAGGAAGAGGAGGAGGAGGAGGAGGCGGAGGAGGCGGAGGAGGCGGGGAGGAGGAGGAGGAGAAGGAGGAGGTGGACGAGGATGAGGTGCAAAAGGGAATTGGGGGGTGGAGGGAGGAAGGAGGAGCGGGGGAGGGGGAGGAACAGGAGGAGGAGGAGGAGGAGGAAAAGGAGGACGGCAGGAAGAAGAGGAGGAGGAGGCGGAGGAGGAGATGAGGAGGAGGAGGTGGAAGAGGATGAGGTGCAAAAGGAGCGGGGGGGGAGGGTGGGAGGAGGAGGAGGAGGAGGAGGAGGAGGAGGAGGAGAGAGGAGGAGGAGGAGGAGGGAGGAGGAGGAGGAGGAGGTGGAGAGGATGAGGTGCAAAAGAACTGGGGGATGGAGGATGGGAGGGAGGAGGAGGAGGAGGAGGAGAGGAGGAGGAGGCGGAGGAGGCGGCGGAAGGGGGGGAGGAGGAGAGGAGGAGGGAGGAGGAGGAGGAGGAGGAGGAGGAGGAGGAGGAGGAGGAGGAGGAGGAGGAGTAGGAGGAGGAAGAGAAGAAAGAAGAAGAAGAAAGAGAAGAAGAAGAAGAAGAAGAAAAGAGAAGAGGAGAGGAGGGAGGAGGAGGAGTAGGAGGAGGAGGAGGGAGGCGGAGGAGGAAGGAGGACGATGAGGAGGAGAGGAGGAGGAGGAGGAGGAGAAGGAGCTGATGAGGAGGAGGATGTGCAAGAGGAAGCAGGCGGGTGGATGGGAGAAGAGGAAGGAAGGAAGAGGAGGGGCAAAAGGAACTGGGGTGTGAGGGAGGGAAGGAAGGAGCGGAGGAGGAGGAGGAGGAGGAGGAGCAGGAGGAGGTGCGAAAGGAAACGGGGGGTGGAGGTAGGGAGGAGGAGAAGGAGGAAGCGGAAGTAGGAGGAGAAGCAGACGAGGACGCAAAAAGAGAGGAGGAGGAGGAGGAGGAGGAGCTGGAGGAGGTGCGAAAGGAGCGGGGGGGGGAGGTAGGGAAGGAGGGAGAAGGAGGAAGCGGAGTAGGAGGAGAAGCAGGACGAGGACGCAAAAGAGGAGGAGGAGGAGGAGGACCAGGAGGAGGAGACGGAGGAGCAGGAGGAGGAGGAGGAGGAGGAGGAGCAGCGGCACAACCATGCAGTCACCGTGGATCGGGAACCAGGAGGAGGAGGAAGAGCAGGAAGAGGGGGAGGAGGAGGAGGAGGAGGAGGAGGAGGAGGAGGAGGAGGAGGAGGACGTGGGCGATTGGGGGAAGGGAGAGATCGGTGAGGAGGTCCAACGAAGGGCCTTTGCGCTGTCTCAGGGCTCTGAGGGGGTCTCTTGCGCCGTCTTGGGGCGCTCTGGAGGTCCCCTGGGCCGTCTCGGGGGCCTCTCGACCTATCGTGGGGATCTCTTGGGGACTTCTCGGGCCGTCTTTGGGCTCTCTTGGAGGCCCCGTGGGCAGTCATCGGCCGTCGGGAGCTCGAAAATGCGAGAACCTTAAAAGGATTGGAACACCAACGGGTTATCCAGGATGTGTGGCTCTTCGGGCCGCCTCTCTGAGGCGGACGTGGGCCGCATGGGGCCGTCTGGGAGGCATCTCGAGCAATTGGGAGGCCTCTCGGGGCCCTCTGAGACCGTCTCGGGGGCTTATTGAGGTCTTCTTTGCCCGTCTTGCGTTCTCTTTGGTACGGGAGAAGTGGGTGCGACGAGAACCGGGAGCGCCCGGGATTTCGGGCTGTGGGCCCCGTAAAGAGCTTTCAGGATTGTAGACGGAGGGCTCCCAGGGACCTGAGGACACTCTAATTCGTGCCTGGGCGCTCTATCACCTTGCCCCTAAAATGCCGGTGAGGCTACAACTGTGGGCATGTACCGGGCAGAAACCACGGGTGCCTTCGAGGGCGCGAGGTTTGTTCGCGCTTCGCACTTCGTGCTTCGCGCTTCGGCTCCGATTCCTCCTCATCCTCTTCTTCTCCCCTGGGAGGCGGCGCGAGAGCGCGAAGTCATTCGCACTTCGCGCAGCGCGAAGCGCGAAGTTTGGAGCCCTTGAGAAACGCGCGCATGGTCGGGCTCAACGTGGTTTTGCTTGGGTCAGGGCGGCCATACTTGAAGACCCAGTGTGCCCGCGCTGCGCGTGGCCCCGTGAGCAAGGCGCTGAGGGCGCCCAGCCTGCCGCTGGGGGCTCGATGTGCAACTTCGGGCATCGGTGATTTTGCTCTTTTTCGCCAGGCTTAAGTCGGGCGTGTCCCTCTACATGGGGGAAGATTCAAAAATAGTCAAACAATAGTCAGGGAACATGTTTTATTATTTTTGAGCATTTAGAATGGTATGTTTGACTCTTTTCATTTTCCGTCCGAAATCCCCCTGTAGAGGGACAGGCCCGACTTAAGCTTTGTTTCGCCAGACACTGCGGGAGAGAAAGCAATGAAACGGAGGAGAAGGAATCATATGAGGACGGGGATAAGGAGGGGGAGGGGGGAACTATAGAGGGGAGCGGGCAGGAGGAACGGGGGATGGGAAGGATTCGGTAGTAGTGGCGTGGGGGGCGGGGGTAAGGATGATGACGGTGGTGGCAGCTGTTGGGGCGATGGCGTCGGCGGGTTGCGGTGGTGGTGGCGGCGGGCGTGGCGGCGGTGAAGGGCGTTGGGAAGGCGATGGTGGTGAGGGTGGAGGTGGGGGGCATTGTCGTTGGGCCGTGGTGGTGGTTGTAGGGGGTTGGGGGCGCTTGTACTGGGAGTGCTGGCGGTTGCAGGTGGCGATGGTGATTATGACGGTGGAGATGGCGGTGGCGGTGGGAGTGGGGAGGGCCGCGGGGGCGGCAGCGGCGGCGGGGGCGGAGGTGGCGACGGCGGCGCCGTTCGTGGGGGCGGTGGTGGAGGCTGGAGATTGGCAGTGGGGGCGGTGCACGTTGAAATTTTGGTAGTGGCCGTCGCTCGCGGACGGGGCGCAACCCCAATGAGCGCCCGTCGGCGCCCGCGGGCAGTCGCACACGCTCGCGCGTGCTTGCCGCCGAGCGAGGCTTGCCACCCGTGCCCGCGGTTGCCTGCGCGCGCTCGCAGCCGTCTGCTCCGGCCACAGGCGCGCGCGGTGGTCTGCGGGCGTTGGCGGGCGCCCGCGACGCTGCGTGCTCACAAACTTGGGCGCGTGCGTAGACGTTTTTGCGTGGGCCAGCGTCGGCCCACGTGGCGCGTAGGGCGCGTGGGCGTAGACGTTTTGCGTGGGCGCGTGCGTAGACGTTTTTGCGTGGGCCGGCGTCGCAGGCTGGAGGCCCGAGAGCGCGCCCTCGACGCCCGCGCCCGCGTCGAGGTCGTCATGCCCGCGGGCAGCGCAAGCGTGGCGTCCGCAAGATGCGCGTCGCCTCGCTCTGCAGGCAAGCCGGAGGTCGTTCCAGGCCACGGGGGGCGCGCGTGATCGGCGCGGTCTGTCGCGCGATGTGTTTGCCGGCGTCGCCGCGACACGCCGTTGTGCTCGCGTCTGCGCGCGGCGCGGCAAGTGCGCGAACGCGCCCACGTGATCGCGAAGCACGCGGCGCGATGCAGGCTTCCGCCTCCGAAAGAAATATCTAAGATGGCCACCGCAATCTAATTCGTGAGGCGTCAGAAGGTGCACTTCAACACCCAGCCTTCGACGTGCGCGCCCAGGTCGTCCGTGCTGCGCGCTATGTATGATACCGTTCGTGTCAGCGGCGCGCGTTCGTTTCGCCCGATCGCATTCGTGCGCCGCGTGGACATCGCGCTGGCCGCGCGCGCGCCCAGTTTTCCAGCGCCGCGTGTCCGTGCGTGTATCGGCCGCGTTCTTGCAGCAGGCCTTCCGCGGCAGCATCCCGCGCGGCCGCGAAGGGAAGTGGCGCGCGACCGCGGGATTGTGCCGCAGGCGAGCGACCTTGTACGACGCGCAGGATTTTACGAACAAATGTAGGTCACAGGTCCCAGTGTCTCTTGGCTCGCTCATGCAGCCATGCAGTTGAAACGAGGAGCAAAAATCTCGTCCACGCAGCCTGGTGGCCCCCAAGAGGGCCTGCGGATACACATTCAGATATATCAAAAATACATCGACCTACACACACATATATATATATATATATACACACAAGATTGCAGTGGCGCTTCGCGCCATGCTCCTTGGTCCTTGAAGTTTGGTACGCAGGCGGAATAGCAGGAAGGTCAAGCCGACAATTTAGCGATAACTCCTTGTTGCCTTTTCCGGCATCGCCGCTATCATAATGTGATTCGTTATCTTTCCTCCACGTTTCTTTTTCCTCATGTTCGTCATAACCTGCGCATTCTGCCCATCCTCCTCAGCTCTTTTTTGCGGAGGCTCCTCCTTGGAGAGCCTCTAGGGGCCCCACAAAAGTTGTTCCAGGCTTTCTTAAGGCCTTCTGGAGGCCTCCTAGGCGTATTCTGGGGGCCTCCGGGGGCTTCCTCGGGCCACCCTGCCTCCAACCGCGGTCCCCCTGAACGACCGAATCACGATTTGGAATTCTTCGGAGGGTGTCTTTGGGCCATCTTGGGCCGCCATCGGACTCTCTGAGGGCCATCTTGGACACGTGTTGAGCCGTTTGGGGGCTCTCTTTGGACTCCCTGGAAGCCCTTTCGGATGGTTGTGGGGCGATTTGGGAGCCTCCCAGGCGGCTTCGGACGCCCAGAAGACCGCCGTCTTGGAGCGTCGGGACGCCGAAAAGAGTTGAGAACCCCAAAATTCACCAAAAGCCTACAGAAAATTTTCTCACTGCCTCCGTTGGGGTGGGCGCGCCTGCATTGGGACAGCGGAGGAGACGCTGCCGGCGTGACGGGCGAGCAAGCCCCCAAGCGAGGCTGCCCGACACGCCGAACCCACACCCCAACCAGACACCGCTGCCTGCGCGGCCAGCAGCGAACCACACCCACCAGACCAG